GGGGGCGATCCATACGACCAGTGTTGCCAGGTATGAGTTTATTTGTTCGTACAGACTCTTTCAGAATTTCCGACCCTTATCGTAGGTCGAACGAGGCATATATGTCGTCGCTGGTCTTGCCTTCGGAATTTTAAAGTACAGCTGCATCCGATTCACGTTTAGCGGTGTAGAGGAAGGAGTTGTTGCCTGGGCACTAGACAGGGGACAGCATTATGCTTTAGCTTTATTTTACCCATAGTACCCTTTGGATAGGAGGTTGAGGTGTATCTGAGTCTGTTTGGGCAACGAGGACCAGAAGAGAATCTTCACACCAGCTAGGATCAAACCCTTATTATTCAGCCAATAGTGGATCATTTTACTGGCTAAGCCAACCCAGCTTCTTACATTTTAATTGAGTACAGTGGCTGTCAAGATAAAATAGGTCATTCAGTGACCATCCTAATTAGTGTGCACTGTTACAGTTCAGAATTTAATATTACCGACTTTGGCTGTTACTACACTGGCAGGTTTTAGCCAAGGTAATTAGAGCTATCAGGTACTGTGTAAGGAGAACTTTCGCTGTACAATGATACATCTGCTATGATATGTAACTATTTTAGTCAAGAGACCAGTGAGTGTCAGGTCAGAGCCAGAGTCCCTTACTTATATCTGAGAGCGAGTTGCTTTGTGGCACACCTCATGGACCTGTGATTGATATGGAACAGTGGTTGAGTAATTAGCATGAGAAACAAAAACTTTGAGAGAAACCTACACCAGTGCTGCTTTTTCCATCACAAATTTCACTTGAAGTAATCCAGAACTAAATCTCGTTCTCTGCTGTGAGAAGCCAGCATCTGTCTGCCTTTGCTGGGGCATGACCTGTTTTTTTTTTTGTTGGCTTTAAGGTATTCTTTTGGAGGGGTTGAGGAAAATGGAAGGCCTTTTGCAGATGAGATTTCAGGTTCTCATAAGGAGTATGAAGATGTGATGTTGCACTATGTAGTCTGGTAAAAATTAATCATGTTTTAGAGGTGCTTACTGCCTCCATCAACAGGGGCAGTAACTCATGGAAGCAATAAGCTGCTCTCAAATATCAGCCAGTTTCTGCCAGACTACATGCCCAATATCACAGAAGAGTCGTTTTCTTTTTTCAGGTGATTGTGTTTATCATTTGATACCATGTAGTATGAGCCACTGTTGACATTAAATAAACCATAAATAAAAAAAATTATAAACAGAGCCTTCCAAACAATGTATCAGACCTGTTCTTTATGCATGCCTAGTGTTGTATTCCAGTTCTTTGTTAGTGACGAAGTGGTCAGAATATGAAGCTCATCACTTGCCTGCATCTAGTGACACTTTGATTCCACGCCCTTAGTGCCTTGTGGTGGGCCTCTTCATTACTTACTTTTACTGTAGGTCAACTGATTAATGGATAGACACATTCATGTGTGTCTGTGATTCTGAAGTCAATAATAATTTAAAGTATGAATCTAGATTTTGGTAGTGCTGTCTTTTGTGCATGCTGGGTAAAGTTTGGAAATACTTGTATTAAACTCATGTTGTTGTTTTTTGTCTTTTCTTATCATGTTCCTTGTGTTGATTATGTGTTTGGTAATTTGAATCCTTGCATCATGTTTTGTGATCAGAAAAATGTGTTATAATAAACCTGTCTGTACAGCTTTCTATTCGTAAGGGTTTACCTTCATGAAATTACTCTCTACAACCATCTTTGACATTGATATTTCAGATTTGTTGTTACATGAATTGAGTTAAGAGAAAGCTCCCAGATTCAATACAAATGTGCCGTGTTACGTTACTATATTCAGCCCACTCTTCAGAACTCACGGACTGAGAGAGAGAGAGGTGTAAACCCCCCCCCCCCCCCACCTTATGTTGTTCTGATTTGCATTCAGGGTTTGCTGGATTGACATGTTCTGGGTGGGGACTGGGACAGGGAGGCAGGGAATCACTGCAGGCTTCTGTAGGATCGTTACTGGCTACCGCTGTAATGTTGGGCGTGGTGCCGTTTATAGCACATGTTATTTCATATTTGTTTTGCGAATGTTCACAGCTTTGAGTTGCAGAGTCGTATGTGTGATTCATTTTAAAAGGAAAGCTGACGATTGTTGCATGTAAACATAGTTTCTTAAACGGCATGATATGAATTAACTTGGTCTGCTAAAATCTTACCGAGCACAAAAAAAATTACAAACTACTGAAAAATGGATCCAATCCAAGCATGATTTTTGTTTTTAGATTATTACGGTCTTTGGGTGCCTTGGGGTTATGCGTCGTACCACTCACGGAGCAAGGTCGCAAGAGTGACTGTTATCATTGATAGGTGGAGATAAAGTCGAGGATGTTCATAAATTTCCGTTTGCTGGTGTCTGTTTACAAGTGAATGAATTGCTTCCAGGCGTGTTCTTACCCTCTTGCCCAACATCTGGTAAGGAAATGAGCACATAGTCTGAACGGGACAGTCTTTTTCTTGTCACGAACCATCTATGACTTGCGAAAGTGCATTGGACTCTCGTCTAAGCTAGTAGTTACATGAAGCCAAGGAAGAATGGCATTACACCCTGTCCGTTTAAATTTGTAAAATTTGCTCTCCATCTGGTGCGATTTGTGGTGTTTCTTTGGTCAGCGTTAATTTGTTTTGTTGGCGTACTGAATAAACACTGGACCAAAGTTGAGTGGTTGGAATAGATCATCTGGTTTTTACTACACTTTAATAAGTATTTTTATTTTTGTGTAGGACGGAATTGCTCAGGCCGGCAACAGCGCAAACCGTACCTAGACGTGGGTTTGGCAAGGTCGTACAAGGGGACTGGATTTCGAGGGTGGTAAAGATTCGCGATCATTTGACCCCGATACGTATCAGTCTCTCGCAGGAGGATATTTTCTCAACGCAGCATAGACCTCAGTTCCATTGCATTGTGGTAGCTGGGCGTTTCTTATTGTCTGTCGTGCAGTGCCGTTGGATATAAACCTGCGAAACTGCGTTCATCGTGCATGCATAGCTTACGAGGACCGGGCAACGCCGTTGCCACGCTGCGGACATGGCGTTCTAATCCCAGATACTGGGGCTAGATACGTAGTTGATAGTCAGGGCGTTCCTCCAATTCTGTATATAAAATAACGGACTCTGATCATCTTGAACTAGATATGTAATTCTTATAGTAAACAATTTAAGTTTTGGAACTGCGTTCTGAATGAAGGCTACTGTCATCCGGCAACGTCGGAGACCTGCGGACGGCGATGTTCTGCCTCGGTTCTACATCGGGTGTATCCGACCTGTTCCGTATTGTAAGCGCTGTTGTCAGAACGGTTGAAAAAGAGAAAGATGGGCGATCAACTGAAAGGGGGGGGGATACAGAGGTGTCAGAACCAGTAATAACAACAAAAAATTTATGATGCTCTAAGGCCAGTAGTGCAATGGGAGTACTGGAGTCACTGACAGACAATACCTTTACAAGGCAAGGGAGGGTATGTATTCCGAAAATTTATCATCTGCATTGCGACATCAAAAAAAAACCTTACATTTGGTGTTCTCAGCTTTGGCTGCTCCTGTTTACTAGTTTGCCTATTTTTAGTCACTGATGTTGATTTGAGTAAAAAAGGTTGCTGACAGATACAAGTATTATTTTATAACATTTATTATTTTTGTCTGTGACTTCTGATGTCCTTACATTCCAGCTGTCCGTATAACACTTACTGGACAGTAGGTGTAAGATGGTAACTGGTTGGTATGATTTCATGTTTAGCTTTCCATTCGTTGAGGTACTAAAATATTGCGTACGTCCTTTTATGGCAAGTTACAGCGGTATATGTTTTTAGCATAGTTAGTAAGTAGAAGCTAAAATAACCCCGCCCGGCCCCTCTATTGCGGGGAGTAGCCGCGACATCGGGAATGGCGTATGGACCTAATTCTGCCACGTAACAGCCGATCAATATCAAAACTTGGATCCCAGGTCGGGAAAGCACCGTCACTGCAGTTATATACAGCAGATTAATTTTGTTTTACTTACGTTAAAAGGATCTGTTGCTTGTCGTTACCGTGATTTTGCATATGTGTATTTTTTTATCTAATTCAATGTACGTAACTCTTCGGGAGGGGTGCCAACCATATTAATCGAACAGCCGAAAGGACTCTCAGCTATAGGACGAATTTCTGTTCGAGACAACTTCGTCTTGGCTTCCTGATTCGGACATTAAAAGTTGTGTGTGTTAATATTTACATTTTAAAAAAACGTTTTTACACATTGAGCTGTAGTAAATGCTGTAATGGATGTGCGTAACAGTGGGTTGTCGTTCCAGTTGTGAAGTTTTGCATTTATGTGTACACACAGAGTCAAAATATGAAAACTTTCAAGTTTTGCAGCTGTTGATAGGGTTTTTTGTATTGCCTTTAGTATTTTGGTTGTGTAGCTGAATATTGCGTAGCATAACTTTCTTGCTGTAGTTGTTTTCTGAGAGCTGTAAATACGTAGAATATTAATGAAATGTATAAAAAATGGGCCACCGTACAGCATTGTATCAGCTGATCGAAGATGTGTCAAGTTATGTTATTAGCGAAGAGGAAGCATAGGTAGTGGCATGTTCTATTATTTTTGACGCTTGTTTACATTCTTTGACCAACGTATAATTATCCTTGTTTCAGATCTCTGCCAGTATGGATAACAATGACTGCTATTGATATCTTAGTCACTAAGGTCAGTTTTCCAAGAAAGCCTGAAGTTGTGTTTGGTTAAAATGTTGAAGCTGGCATAATAATAGTTCTGAGATCTTTTTATTTTTTTAGATTTTGGTTTCTGTGCGTTGCCTGCCAAAGAAGAATTGAGCCCAATGTTTCCAAACAAATCTAGTTCAGATGAGATTTCAAAAATTGATGCCTTCATACAAAATTTTAAGGTATACAAATTTGATTGTGGATATGTGTAAATAGTATGAGTAGCAAAGCAAAACTGATGTATTAATTTTTTTAATGCATTGCCTATATGGAAAAAAATTGTTTTCATTGTGTAATGTAGGAGGATTCTGTAGAAGCAAATGATGTGCCAGAACAATTAGCAGAGTCACAGTCTTTCGGCTTTGTCTTTAGCAACGAAGTCACTAGTGCGGCCACTTCCCTGTTCGCACATCTCAGTTCCACATTTCCTACCAACCAAGTGCCTGTTTCAAGGGTAAGTTATTGGAATATTTGATACATGGTTTCTGCTATCTGTACTTGTTTCTTGAAGTTGTGTGTTTTTATTTGTGGTGTCTAATTTTATCACATCTGTAGAATACCACTAATATTATATAAACATCAATAATAAATTGATTTGTCCCCAGTTGTAATATGCATAGTTGCATATTCATAAGTCACTTTCAAAACTGAACCCAATTGAGAAAGTAGTTTCAGGTTTTTATGATACTGTGTGTACATCATAATGGTTTCCTTTCTGCAAGCAAACATTCTACCAGTTTAAGTTTGGGAATTGCTGCTTTTTATAATTAACATTTTGTCTGTATGTGATGTAACTTGAAGGTGTTTCTGAAGTAGTTCCCTAACAACATTTTTGACTTGATGTTTAGTTTTAATGCAGTTTCTGTGTCCTTGGAGTTACACTGGGCATCATAGGCAAGGCAGGGAGAGAGCGTTGGGGTGCAGGTTCTGCACAACTCTGATAATCATTTAGCCCCACATACAGGTTTTGACTGTAGTAGTAAATGTTTTGCTTATGTAGTGGATCTAGATTGTGGTATGGTGAGTAGAGCTAGGCATTAACAACTGGGAGGATTGCTTTGTGTAGCATATCATAAGGTTTGTTGTTGGAAATTGTAGGACACAATCGACCGCACCAATGAGAGGGAGGAGCCAGTTAACATGGCAGCTGTGACTGACTGTCAAGTAACATCACCACTACCACAACATGCACAAATGATTGCTAAATCTGTGCGTACAACTCAGCAGCAAATAGCACCACAATGTGCAGCAACATCAGTACTACTGTCTTGGCCTTCCCTAATTTCCCCGCCGGCAGCTGTGACAATCTTAGCGGGAGACTGCGAGACAGGCAGCCTACATACAGGGGTAGAAGGAAGCGGCATCAAACAATTAAACACGGGTAAGACAGTGTTTGTGAATCTTGATTGGCTCAGTAACTGTGTTCTTCTCGAGGAAGACAATGTGATTGCACCATGTGTTCTTTACACAAGCTGCATAAAATGAGTGCATAATTAATGTACTCTGTTGACATGCGATGGTGATCTGATTTACAGGGTGTGAATCCTGTGGTTCTACTCATTACCACCCCAACCCCAGTTCCAAGTCTGAGGCCTTGTGCCAGGTGAGCCTAGGGAAGGGTGGAGGGGAGGCTGGAGCTGACCCAACCTCTTATCTGTTCCCTACGGCGATATTTTCAGCGTCTGTGATATCCAGCTCAAGTTGTGGCACCGCGCAGCCTCCGTCCCTTGTGACCAGCCACGGTGTAGAACAGGTGCAGGAACTTTGATTGCAGCAACTTCAAAAAAAATTAAATATAATCGCTGACCTACAAAATTTAAAAAAAAATTATGTAGAAGGGTGCACTATTCCACTTAAATTCTTAAAGCAATGTACATTCACAACAAAAGCATGGACTTCTGTTGTCCAAAATGACTTAATTATAGTTTATTTAACACTGCTTTCAGTATCTAGATTTTTATGTTGGATGGGATGATGAATGAATTGGAAAGGATTTGGAAGGAAGCAGTTCTGGCTTAATTTAAGGTCCTATACCAGCATTTTCCTGTAGGGACTGGGGATAACCATGAAAAACCTCGGTCAAGATAGCTGTTGTCCAGGCCAAGATTTGAACCTGGGACCTCCTGACTTCTAAGCAGGAGAGTTTACCATTTGCCATGATATTTGGTAAAATTATTATAATTTTGATCCTACATAATTATGGTGTGGAAATAAAACATCAGTTACTTCTCATTGCTTAAGTTGATATGTTGCACCAAACATTTAGTAACAAAGGAAAATGTGGTTCGTGTGTCATCAACTTCTGAACTGTTGTGGTTTTCATTTGTTGATATTCTTGTAAATATACATTCAGTCCATACATTGGTTTGTTTATGGGGTTCTTTTCAGGGCTTCAATGCAATGTTTGCCAGTCACCTTGGTTCTTCCAGCAGCAATAGTCTGTCTATTAGTGCACAAAGTCATGCCACCAGCTTTACCACTACAACTACAATGGATGTGGTTCCCACCCATGTCACTCAGGCCAATGAAAATCCAAATACTATTACTACTGTTAGCCAACATGTTATTAAACTTAGTAGTGTAGAGGCAGTGAGTGGTTCGTTCGTCGACGACCGCGTTCCGCCGGACAATCTTCCGTCTCTAGGTGACGGACAGAGTGAGAAAAAGGCTAATCAAGTGGGGGGAGAAGTGGAATCTACTACTGGTGCTCTTTCAGATCAGGATAATAATCTTATAAATGTTAAGAATTTTCAAAAAATTATTGGTTCCGGGGAAACTGTTGAGCCCCGGCAACTAGAGTGTCAAGATGCCGACGATGACGGCGACAAAGTCTGGAGTGTGACTCCGTTTCTCAACATTCCCAAGTTGCAAGGCAAAGGGTTGACAGCTGGAAATGGTGAGCTTTTCCTTGTATCTGCCATGAATGCAACAGTCCAGGGTAAAATTGACAGTAACCCAGCACCAAGCTTTAATAAACTTAATACTAGTATTAATGTTAAGAATCGTGTTGACGAACTGGAATCATGTGCTTTTAAGCTCCTAATTCAATGTGCAACTCAACAAAATAAGTATGATGTTGCCTCAAACGAAGGACCAGCAACGAATGCTAGATGGGGAATTCCTTCTGGGCTCGGTCTGTGCGGTGGTGGGGAGAGCTCACTGAACAGTGGCACTTCGAGTTGGGGGACTCCATCTGGCGGCAACTCAAACAACAATAACAATTCAAACTCGTCAGCCGGAGGCTGGGGAGGTAACAACCAGGGACAGGGAAACACTGCAGCGCAGAGCCAATGGGGAAACAACAACAGTGTGAATAGAAACGCAGGCAGTGGAGGTTCTAGTCAGGGGCCCAGTGGACAGCAAACCACAGGTGAGGATGTGAATTCCTTACTCCTCTTTAAGCTCTGATACTCTCGAATACTGTGTATTTGAAATAATCTCTTTAAAGGAAGAACATAATCCCAAAAATCCACATTCTTGAATGGTGGTTTTTCCAGGAAACAGTAATTTAAAATTTGTTTATATTTACACAATCAGGAGATCTTTGCTTTTTCAATGTGATTTGTAGGACTTTTGCTAGCAACCAAAGCCATAGCATGTGGCTTTTCTGCTTATCACAATCTGAACAAATAATTTGATTGTAAATGAGTTTCCAATGTAACTTTGGCCATTTTTCTTTGTTCATAATAGTGTGTGTGGAGATATGCTGTGTTGCATTTTAGCAGCATTTATGATATTCATGTCACATTGTAGTTCTTGTTGGTCGTAGAAGTTTTTGTAATAATTACTCTTGTATTTGGGTTCAGAAATTACTGTCTTACTGTAGTCTACCTGAGGCTGAAGAGAGTATTTGCACGTGAAAGAAGTTGATGAGGGAATTAGACTATGAGGCACTACACTGATACTGTTTGGGTGATGTAATGTTATGCATGAGATAATTAAGCAGTAGAGTTTTATTGTGAATACAGTATACATTTTTGTGTGTCAGGCAATACAAATAAAGGCACCAACCCGCAGTCTGGACAGCCTCCATCTCAACAACCCCCACCAACACAAGCTCCATCCTCGCAGCAGCAGCAGCAGCAACAGCAGCAAAATGGCTCCACGTCTTGGGCGCAGGCAGCTGGAAAGGGGCTTCCGGCTAATCAGCAACCCAGTACTGGGGGTGCCAACAGCAGCTCTAGCAATAACAACAACAATCCAGGAGCTGGAAGTAGTGGCAGTACTGGGACTAGTGGCTCTGGAGCAAGTAGCAGTACTGGCAACAACTCGACCAAACAGCAGCTGGAGCAGTTGAACACAATGAGGGAAGCACTTTTCAGTCAGGATGGTTGGGGAGGGGTAAGTATCATCAACTTACAGGACTGCTTGTCCTATTAAAGTCTGCTTTAGTCAGCCGTTCAGATTTCATAAAGTACGTGAACTGTTGTCAGATTTTCAGAACCTTTGATTTCATTATCCTATTAATACTGAGAAATGATGAAGTTATGTATCTCATTATTTGTGTGTGAAGAAACTTCTGTAGCATGGACTCTGGTTTGATATTGTTGACTGGGATGTTTATTAAATTGTATGGTAAACGTGTTTTACGAAGACTACAGTTTCGTTTCTTGCATGTAGCCTATTTATTGTGTGATTTAGGATTTTTTATTGCCATTGTAACCCCTGATTTATAAACACTTTGATTTCTGCTTGTATAGGGCTGTTGGAGATTGGTTTAAAGTCCGGGACTAATAAAGGAAAATACATTTGAAGACAGTTGTTTGACATTTGCTTTCATTTTTTTTTTCTTATTAGCAATTTGTGAACCAAGATACTGTTTTGCTTCTCCAGAACCTGGAGTGAAAGATGGTGTTCCAGTCTGGAAGCCAAATGTGAATAATGGTAAGGATCTGTTTTACAGGGAAACCTTGTTTCTGCACACTTCACATTAATGTATATTTCAAATTGGCATGCATTGTATTAATCCTGCAGTTATGTTTCATTTAATGACGCTGTTAGTGGTGCAGTCTGATTAACAGTGAATAGAAGAGAAATTAATTGAACAGGATGTTGAAGGAAAGTGGTTGTCTATATACTATCGTGGCATTTGCCTTGAGGGGCAAGAGAATACAAAAGGTGCATTTTTCTATTGATTGATTTTCAAGTTGCCATTTCAATATAAATTACGCTGAGTAGCGTTTAAAAGCCAAAGTCCCTGGAGGTCTGCAGTAGTGGAATTCCACAGTAGTGCATATGAAATATGTCTTGGCATTAGGTGTAGTGTTTTTAGAAGTTTGTACTTGTATGAACTGTTTCACAGGCTTCATGGTATTATGCAGATACGTATACACACTGCTGAGCCATCAGCGCCAGAACATTAGCCTTATCGAAGTGATATTGAGAAGTTCAAAAAGTATAAATCCCCAGGTACTGATCAGGTTCTGGCCTAATCGATAAAGCAAGAGGCAAGACGTTGTGTTGCGAGATACACGGACTATTTGCTCTATATGGAATAAGGAGGAAATGCCAGAGCAGTAGTAATCTATTATTGTACCAATTCATAAGAAGGGTGATAAGATTGATTGTAATAATTATTGAGCACTTTCCCTCTTGTCAACTACCTACGTTGTGGTGGGTGGGAGGATGGCGTTAAGATGGGCCTTAGGGAGTGATGGAGCGAACTGAATGCAGCAATCTTGGGATATAGTCTGGTGGTGCGCTGTCGTGAACACGACAATGAAACTTTGGGTTCCATAAAGAAAGTGGGCCATTGTCTGACAAGCTGAGTATACAATCAACTTTTCAAAGAATTTCCTGCAACATTGAGTAAGCAAATTGCTTTTCTGTTGTTGTTGTTGCTGTTATTGTTCTTACTCTTACAGGAACAGATTTGTGGGAAGCAAATCTTCGTAATGGTGGACAGCCACCCCCATCACAGGCTCAGAAAACACCGTGGGGACATACCCCCACTTCTAATATCGGTGGAACGTGGGGTGAAGACGATGATGTTGGCGATAGCTCAAATGTGTGGACGGGCGTTCCATCCGGTGCTGGACCTACGGGAGCGACAGGCCAGTGGGGAGCGAACAGTGCCGGCCCTAGTGGTGGTATGTGGGGAGGTGCGTCTTGTAGGGCTCTGATGGTGGAGTTATTTTTATTATTATTATTATTATGAACTCTGATTCATGGTTAGCTCATTTTGTCAGTTATTTGTGGTTGTTCTATTTGTTGCTTAAATTGTTCTCTGTAAGTAGATAAGTAGAGACATGTTATCAGTAATAGTTTAATACTGCTGATAAATACAGTTGTTTATTACAGTTGATTGAGACTAGAATGGAATATTGACCTAGGGACAGGGACCAGTAGCAGGCTGCTGTTAGCTCTAGCAGGATGAGATTTTAAATAGTAGCTGAGTAACTATTCTACTTCGTGGAATGAGTGATTTAATTCTGATGTACTTCTGTATATCATAAATCATGCATCTTGAACTGCGTGTTACACATGTTAAGATCTTTATTTGCCTTAGCTCACAACAACTGCAAATAGTGATCACTGATAGAAGCTAACCAGAAGCAGACACTAAGGGGTTTCTTTTAGTTCCAAATTTGCATTTCAGGGACTCATTGCAAGATTTTGCTGGTGGGGAAAATAGTGCTAACCATAACTCTTCGCAAAGTCAGTCTTGTTTGAATGTATTCTGTTTGTTTCGTACTCATTTATTATTTTTAAAGGCAGAAATAGTTTGGAATAATTGGCAACACAAACGTGGGCAAACTTGGATCATTTGATGAACTGAATGTTAAAGGAAATTTTTGTCTATAAAGTGGATTCAAGCAGAAACTTATGTTGAAATCCAAGGTAGACAAAAGTAATACAAATCTTGAAGAAAGCTTGTTTAGAAAAATATTTGTTGCTGTTACGTAGTTTTGCCACATTTTTTCCCCCAGAGATTTGCCAAGAGTTGCTTTAAAACTTTCAAGTAAATACTCCGTCCATCATTGCATTTGACAGCCTCTTTTGGTAACAGGTTATCTTGTGATGCTTTGTGGTAGAACACCTTTTTCCTGAACATAATTTGTGCAGGAATGAAAATTTTATTCAACTAAGTAATTGTTATGTGTACTCAGTTTTACAGTTGGTTATGATGAAATTATTTCCAGGGTCCCAAAGCTTGAGATGGTATGGAATATGACTGTCGTTTTGTTTGGAGATTGCATGAATGTTTTGGTAACATTTATTCTAGGTACCTACATTTGATGACGGCCTTGATAAAAATATTTGCAGTGCAGTAATAGAATAAGTATTTGTGTCTGTAGGTGATTCCTAAGTGCATAATTACAGATAACTGTTAACAAAATTAACTTTCACTATTTTTAATCTTATACATCCATGTTTGTATCAGCAAGTAAAATTTCAAGTACCGCTGTTATTTATAAATCTGAAGGATGTGATAAGAGTTGGTCATACAGGCATCTCACGTTTTTTGCCGTGCCAAATGAACCTCGCGCGCACTCTTATTTCAAAATGGGAAGAGGTATTCCTGTGTAAGGCGTCTCTGATCACAAACATTTATATTTGAAGCATTTTCTTTCAGTGCCCAGTAAGATAACGTTTGCTCTCTTTTCTGTGTTTCTGGAAGGATAGTGGAGCACTGTGCAAGTCCCTCATTGGTTCATTTTCTATGCATGTTGTACAGTATTGCTAGTACCAGGTGGTTCACAGTCTGACTCTTGTATAATATGATTCTCTCTGTGTATGCATTTAATGAGCACTGTTATTGAGTTTGCATTGAAATCTCAAGATAATAAAATTTGTGGACTGGGAAATTATATTCATATTTCATTATAATGAAAAGCGACAGAAGATTTTTATTATGGCCAGTGTTTTTTTGTTGGGTAAGTGGCACTTTGCATGTTCTTAAGATACTAATAAGAATAAAAACTGTTGTTTATCCTGCAACATAAATTAGAATGAGTTATCTAACATATTCATGAGCTGAAAACTTTTGGCTGGTGAGCAGCTTATTGGGGTATGTCATACCATGTGAGAGAGAGATGCACTCTATTCAAAAATTTGATGTTACTATCCATTCTGAAAAAATGACTTGCCTCATAGTAGTTTTATTCTGCAATAGGTTACACTGATTCTGATGTGTCAGTAAGATGGGATCCACGTTTGCATATGTATGTTTGAGAAATGCGTATGAAAACACAATTAGAAATTTGCAACAAACTTAATTTTATGTTTTTGCAGTGAACAATAAAGCATTTCCTCCTCCTACCAATCCGATAAGTGTGGGGATCTCTTCCCTTACTTCCCCAGATTAGAGAGTTGCTTAGCTGGTGAACACACAGTATATAAATTATCCTTTGTCGGCAGTGCTCCATCAAAATTTCAGTGAACAGAAACCGTTGTTACTCAAGAGGTGTTCTGCTGTAAGCAGTACATAAGTTTGCAGTTCTTATATTGTATTTCTGTTTTGGCAGACAATTTGGTATTCCTATAATTGGCCTGACATTGCAGTCCTCTTCAAAGTCTCCTGCCCGATATAACCCGACCAGAATTTAGTGCACATATTAAAAGGCTAAGAAGAAAAAGTTTCAGTGACACTGCAAGTTGTTCTCTTTATGCCGCAATCAGCAGGTGTAGAAACAAGTGAATAGTGTTGCTTTTTAAAAAATCCATCTATTTTACTGTCTTTGATTGGAAGTTGATGATGTGTATTGCGATAATTAGTATCAAGGTTGGGCATTTTCTGACATTGCCAGCTCAGCTTACTGAATGTGATTGACACGTCAAGGGTTGTGTGAAATTTTATGCTAAAAAGGAGAATACTGATCATTTTAGGTACCATACATATTTAATGATGCACTGTTGGGACAATAGTCTGTCCTGTGACACTAGCCAGATGCAATGTCTCTCTTTTTTTCTTCTTCCTCCCAACACGTGCGCACACCCATGAGTACTAACGGTACATTAAGACAAGTAATTTTACGGTGAAACAATCTGCCTAAAGGCCATTTGTGTGAGGTACCTTTAAATGTTCTTTTTTCTTGGCCTCTTACAATGATTTTTTTTTATAGCTGGAAAGAAAGACAGTGATTGGAATGGTGGTGGAGGTGGAGGAGGGTCAAATTGGGGTGATCCACGAAATGATCCTCGTGGAATGGACCCACGTGATCCTAGAGATCCTCGCAATGTTGGGACGATTGATCCTCGTGATATGCGAGGAGACCCACGAGACACCAGAAGTGGAATGATGGATCCACGAGATCATATGCGTGGTGTATTGGATCCAATGCGCAGTGATGTTGGCATGCGTGATCCAAGGGACATCCGTGGGATGGGAGACATGCGCGCAGGAGATCCTATGTTACGAGGAGACCCGCGGGGTATTAGTGGTCGCCTGAATGGTGGAAGTGATGCAGGAATGTGGGGACAGCCACCCCAGCCTCCCCATCATCATGGACCCCATCACCAACAGAGCCAGCCACCAGGCAAGATGGTTGGCCCTGGTGGGGTTTCTGGCAGTGGTGAGTACCAACAGGTGATATTGTTTGTTTATTGCAGTAGGCATAAATTTTGGAATGTTGTTTAAAATATTACTTGTTTGCAGGTGTGAACCAGTGGGTCGGTCCACCACCAAAAGACATGAACATATCAAGTTCTGTGTCGAGTAAAACAGGGTGGGAGGAGCCCTCACCACCTGCCCAGCGGCGCAACTTACCAAACTATGATGATGGCACATCACTGTGGGGAAATCCTGCACAGCAGCAGAACAGGATGGGAGGTGTGTACAGTGCAAAGTTATTAAATAAATTCTTGGTGTAATATGTAACTGGTTCTCTGCTGCTGAAGACAAGATAAGTTGGGACATTAAAAATATGTTTACATTTTTGTATTTCTGAAAGTGAATATGTGAGAAGACGAGCTGTTGCCCCTGATGTTAGGAGTGGAACAGTATTTTTTTTCTGTGCAAAAGACAGTCATGGCCTACATAATAAAATAACTGAATGTAGTCCAAAACGAGCTGTAGGTGGAGTTTCCTTTGAATAACACTAAGTGGTACTGTGCAGGTAAAGTGTCCCACTGGAAGGAAATGCCAACACCCAACATGGGACGTGGTGGAATGCCATGTCCTCCAGGGATGCCGCAGAACAGAATGCCAAGCAATGGTTCAGGTAACATGAAACCTGATGGCGGACCACTGTGGGGACATGCTCCAAGGTAATGAATGTTTTTAACACAGCTTGATAGTAAGATTATTACTTGATGACAATCTAATCTTCTCTTCTGTTCATTGTATTGTATGTGATTTTTCATGAGTTGCGTTGTTATGGCAGACTACTTGGAATGTGCTCGACCCATATCTATGTTCAGTCACTGCCTTTGTGACTCTCTCCCCCCCCCCACCCCC